CGTAGCTATTTCTTTAACCATATCGGTCTATACCGTACAGTCTCCAGAATCTTTGCTACTTACCTAATGATGTTCCCAGATCTGGGTAGAGAATCAACATAAAACCCAAACAAGGACCCAAAATATAAAGAAAACAAATCAAACAATGAAAGAATTTAAAGGTGATATAGTTTCTAAGGTAACCCCACTTTTAAGTCATGTCCCCAACAGAGTCTCTAGTTCTATAATACGGTGGGAGAACTACTTGGGTGTTTTTCATTTTATTGCAATTTTCACGGATAGCAAGAGTCGTTGTCGACTTTTCTTTTATCTAATAAAGGAAAGGGTGAAAAGAACAGGAAAAACCTTTTGAAAATTTTCTTGAGTTCGGAGGGTAGGTTATGAAAAAGGAAGGTGTTAGCACCCTTTTCATCTGTAGTTATCTACGGGCTCTTAGTTGCTATCTCACTTTGAAATGCTTTGTTTGAAATGTGTTTGTGATGTTTTTGAAAAAAAATTTGAAAAGTGCCTTCGTTTAGGCGAACTTTGTAATAACTCTTATCTCTATAAGAATGCATACAAAGTGTTGACTTATTGAATATATTTCATTTGAAAGTGTTGGTGTGTTTGAAAGATGTTTTGAAAATGGTTGTAAGCAAGCAACTATGAACGTTCTACCTACTCAAAAAGTATTTGTTCATTTCCTCCTCCTTTAGATATTGTTATCCTACCATTGATTGATCAGAAGCCCTATCATTGGATGTGAAGGGACATGCATGAGTCGTCGTACAGTCATAAAAGGCAACATTGTAGAATACCTTGGCAATTTGTGGTAAGGGTCTAAGATTGTTTACCGAAGGCAACATTTGAAGGGTCATTGAGAGACTACGATCTTGTATTCGAGGTTCATTGTTAAAGTATTCCACGTTTGAGGGACATGGCTGTTTATATCTGAGGCAACAAGTGTGGTTAGCCCTAGAGGTGCAAGTGTGCAAAGTGTTTGTTTTTATGCTCTTTGTCTTTTAATTAGGGTTTTCTACTTGTTGATTTTATGTCTTGTCATACAAAACCTAATTACTAGCATTTATATTGAAAGCGATAAATTGCGGAAATGTAAAATTTTATGCTATTACATCATTTGGGGATGGGGGGACAAATTTATAAATAGGGGATGAAAGCAAATAAAACCTAATTACTATTACAACCAAATTGAATAATTCAAATAAAATGTACAAGAATATGAAGATAATAAATCAAAAAGAAAGATTGTTTTTATGGTTTTTGTATGAAAAGGTTTTAACCTAATTAAATTACTAAAAAAGGAAGAAATCAACTAATTAGTCTAAGTTAATTTGAAGAAAACTAAAACTAAATTAAATTAAGAAAAGAAGTTAAATTAATTAAGGAAACAAATTGTTTAGGGTTTTATATGAAAAGGTTTTTAACCTATTTAATTAAAACTAAAATGAATGGAAATAAATTAATTGATTAAACTCCTAAATTCTAAATTAATTTAATTAAAATAAACTAAGTCTAATATTAACTTAATTAAGAAAAGAAATTTGTTAAAGAAATGCTTTTGGTCTTTTTGTCTAAAAAGAAATAAAATAAAAATATACTAAATATCTAAATAATAAATATAAAATACTTTTGGTATTTTTTGTGATTAATAATAATAATAATAATAATAATAATAATAATAATAATAATAATAATAATAATAATAATAATAATAATAATAATAATAATAATAATAATAATAATAATAATAATAATAATAATAATAATAATAAAAATGATAAAGAAAAATAAAATAAAATAAAAGTATAAAATTAAAGTCAGGAGGGTGTAAAAGTAAAAAGGGTGGTTTGAGTGAAGAAAACAGTTTTTGTTTGATTATAGGCATAAATGTATTTTTGTATAATAAAAAAAAAGAGTTATGTGGGTTGCGTAGATGTTAGCATCAGGGGGTGAGAGGAAGTAATTCAGGCCCAAAAGGGGGAAGCCCAGGTGCGCTATCAAACAAAAAAAGTCAGAAAATGTAAAGAAAAATAGAAAAATATGGTACTAGGGCTCGAACCTAGGCCACAAGGGTCATAGGCGCGCGCTCTCTATCACTGGAGTGGCTATACATTTGGTGCTATAAACAAAACCATAAATATATATTACAAAACCAATCCTAGGCCTGTATCATCTTCAACCTCGCGCCAGAAAATTCCACAAGATTTTCAAAACCTGTAACTTCATCATCTCTCAACCAAAATGGAAAATGTAAACATGAAAGTTGCGTAAAATTTCATCACGAATCCAAAAATATAAATAACTAAAGTTATAGATCAAAGATGAATGAGAATTTCTAATGGTACCAAATTTTGACCTAACTTTTTCAGGAAGTTCAAACTTGAAATTCATACTACTCAGGCAATATAAATGAAATCTAAGGGCATGGTTAGTTTTAGGGCTATGATATCTATAACTTATCTTCACAAATCAGAATCAAATGATGCTTGTATAAAGAGATAGAAGTTCAAAAAACTCACCTTGCAGATGGAGATCATGTTTTGAGTTTGAGCAGTTTTCAAGGTGTTGCAATGATCTGGTTAGCTTCCTTAAACCTCTTGGAACCTAAAGTAATTCTTAGCTTGAGTTGTGGATGGCTGAATCGTGCTAGAGAAGTCAAAGTGCAGCACTCTGTTTTTGGTTATGGAGGATGGTGGTGGAGGTTTTACAGTTCTAAAACAGGGATAAGGATGAATTATATTTGATATATGGAAGCTTTGAAAACAATTTTAAGGGGAAACGCACGATGAAAATAAAAGATACAAGTTTTTGGGCAGAACTGTGTACAAAGGGAGTTTTGTATGCAATTTTTGGCTAGAGGGAGTTTTAGGGAGTTACAAGGCTTGTAATTTCGGGTGTTAGCTCACAAATAGTGTCTCTATTTATAAGCAAGAAGTTTGGATGCTTGGAGAAGTCAGAAATCAAGAATCACATGTTTGTGGATTTTCCTTATTTTTGAAGCAACATTGATAAACATGGTCCCAATGCTTGTACCAGGTCCTCTAGAGTGGTTGAACACTTTAAACATGTTTCTTCTGGCCTAGTAGGTTAAAAGTGTGCAGAAGAAACAAGTTAGAGGCTCAAGAAGTTGACTTTGTGATTAAAGTGATCTTTACAAGAATGAAATGGTTACTTTCTTCCCAAAATTATAATTTGGTCTGGATAATGCTTGAATCAATTGGATAATGGCTTAATCAGTTGTGTAAACCATTAATTATGGAGTGAAACATAATTTTGAGGCCTGCAAAGCAAATATTATGCAGCATGGCTATGGATTTGGTCAAGTGTTCATCACAAAATTGACTTGTAATTCAAGTTTGAAACCCTAACTTCATCTCTTCGATTCTCTTAACTCAAGAATGAACTCAATGAGTTATTGGACATTTGGAAAGCTTGTAACATTATCCACAACCTTCATGTTTTTCATTTTTTTAAAATCCAATTGGAACTATGTGAAAATTTGCCATGAAGTTAGGTCAAAAAATCTGCCTAAACTAGTCAAATTTTCACCAAGTGTTTTTTATCAAAAGTGCATGACTTTGTGAATCTATAACTCAAAAACCAAGAATTTATAGATCTTTATCAGTAAATAAAAGTTATATATCTCATCAAGATCTACAACTTTCATGTTGGAAGGTTTCTTTGAATCATCTTACATCTTGGTGAAAAGTTGGCATGAAGTCATGAAAAAATAAGACTTAAAACACTTAGAAAATTTTCTATGTTTTGAAAACTTTGACTTTTCAAAATGACTTTTGATTTTCTTGATTTCTTGATGATTAAGTTTCATATCTTTAAATTTCTTGATGAAATGTGATCTTTGAAACCCAATTTTGATCAAAAGTCAAAGTTTGACTTTTGGTGTATCAGTTGACTGAATTTCAACTATCAATCAATTGATCTTGAGAAATGATTTGAGCCATGAAATTAGGTCAAGACATTTTATTTGAATCCTTGAAATTGTTCTTTAAGCCATTAGATCATGTATTAAGTCAAAAACCCTTGATCAATCAAATACAGTCAAAACCATAATTTTGACCATTTTGCCCTTTTGATGATTTTAACATTTTTCTTGGGGAATTATGATCCAAGCTTGATTAAATGATACATATAACTTTAAAATGTTGATATTGGTAAAAAAAATATTGAATTTTGACTGTATTTTGACCATAGTTGACTTTTTATCCAATACAGTTGATTTTGGGTCATCTGATCAATTGACTGAGCAATTTTGAGATGCAAGACTTGAAATTTGATATGAGCATTATTGAAGGTCCATAATGATCCATGAAAGTCAATTTAAGCACTAGAAGCCCAACTATCCTTGTGAAAATCGAAACCCTAATTTGAGGCATCAGTGTTGAGGAGATGACTTGACCTAGTCAATATTTGTGTAAGCTTGAACCATTGAATATCTTTGTGAGAAATATCTTGAGAAAAGAGAGGGAAAATTTTGGGTACAACAATTACCATAAATCATTTATAGAATTTTCCCATATGAATTAAGATTGGTCTGTCTTTTTTTTTCTGGTGCAGGTTGTAGCAAGCACCATTCATCCAAACACACTTCTATTTTTACTATCCTCCTGATTTTCGTGTACAGATTATTATCCTTTTGGTCATGTTTAGAAAGACTAACTTCAAAATTCAATCTTGACGTTAAATTTAGTTGTGAGTGGTTCAGTCAAACAAACTATGGATATGTACAACACAACGTGCAGAGAAGCACTTACATCATAACATAAAGTAAAATCTAATAGTTCCGCTTTTATTTCTTTATAGATTAGATTTGTTATTAATTATTGTGATTTTAACTGTTATTTGCTACATATATAGTTAATGGAGTTGAGCCACTAGATATTGGAGGAATAAAATAAATTAGAACAAGCACAATTGCCCCAAGAAGCTGCGTTGGCAATTGCTGTGAGAGAGAGAGAGAGAAAGCAAGAAGTAAGACAGATATGGAAGCAGCTAGAAAGATTGCAAATGTGGAATTAAAACGAAGATCAAGTGTTGAAGTTAAATCATGTAAAGAAATCGAGGAACTGAGGAAGCTATTGGATAATTTAGGCCAAACTGATGTAAGATATAGGAGATACTATATTGACGAGATTGAAGTAGCCACACACATGTTTTCTGGAAAACAAATAATTGGGGAAGGTGGTTATGGCTCTTTTAGGAGCGTGTCCGAAGTATGGCATATTGGTTTATGAATATATAGCAAATGGAAGCTTAGACGAATGTCTGACTTGAAAAAAGGATAAGGTTCTGCGTTGGCAATTGAGGTTTCAAATTTCTGCAGAGATTGCCACAAGATTGTTATTCCTACATCATACCAAACCTGAACCTATGGTGCATCGTGATTTGAAACCCGACAACATTTTGCTCGACCAGAATGAACTATTTATGTTGCTTTTGAGTATTAATGTATCACATTTTCTTGTGACAGGTTGACCCGAATGAAGTGAATGCTCTAGCTCAGTTAATGACATGGAAGACTGCTATTACTGACATACCCTATGGCAGAGCAAAGTGTGGAGTCGGTTGTAACCCGAAGGATCTGAGCATCAGTGAATTGGAACGTCTCACTCGTGTTTTCACTCAAAAAGTTCATGATCTCATTGGCATTCATAGAGATGTTCCTTCCTCTGATATGAGGACCAGTGCTCAGACAATGGCTTAGATGCTTGATGATTATTCTAAGTTTCATGGTCATTCACCAGCAGTGGTGACTGGCAAGCCTATTGTAAGTGTATAATAATATTGTACAATCACTACCAACTGTAGTTTTAGGTCCTATTTGAATAGACTACTTAATTAAGTGTTTATGTATATGCTATTTAGTGTTTGTGCATAAGCTATTTGTATAACAATGATAATTTGTCTATCCAAGATTCAAGACATCAGTTTGAAATATTTGCCCTATAGGATCTTGGAGGTTCATTGGGAAGAGAGGTTGCCACTGGACTTTGGAACGGATGCTTTATTTGCTGAATATGGGAAATCAATTTCTGATATGACACTTTCCATCTAGGTATTTGTTCACCACCACCCTACCATGATATTTAATATATAGGATATGATGTTAAACCTTAGTTATCAATTAACAAGTGGTTATACATGAGAACACTTTCATTGTTCTTATTCTTAGACATGTTATTTTGGCAAACAATATTTTATTTATGCCTTACTTTCATTGCTGATAAAAGTTGTAAAATTGTAAAGGGGGATGATGATGGTGGGAAGACCTGTTGCCGAGACACTTCAGTACCTGAGTAGTCTTCGATGAGAATAAATGGTTTGGCTGACTTGAACGAACCAACTCAGGTGGATGAAACATATCAGACAATTTTCAGTGCTTATTATCATTTAGAAAATTCTCTTATGACAGCTTGCATTTTTGTAGTTGTACAACACGATAACATTACTGTTGTGAGCTGTTAAAAATCTGTTATTGGAAAATAACAGAATTTAACAGCATGGCACTTTAGTTGGTTTTGGTTACTAGTTGTACTATTCTCTCGTGTGTATATATACATTGTTGTAATCCCAATTCAATGTTAATGCCACTTTTGATTCACTAATATTACTCTCTACCCCAATTCTCTCTCTCTCTCTCTCATTTCATCTTTATCGAGTTTCTTTTCACCATTGTTACTACCTTCAATGTTTTATGTTGTTTTAACATTTGGTATCAAGAGCTCCGGTTATTGATCCTAATCCGCTGCAACAATGGCTACCGTTTCCAATGATCGAATTCCCACCAATCTCCCAATTCTTGATTCGAAGAACTACGACAAATGGGCGAAACAAATGAAGGTTTTGTTTGGTTATCAAGAGGTGCTTGAGATCGTCATCAATGGAGTTACACCGTTAGGGGCAGATGCTACCGATGCTCGTAGGGCTACACACAAGGAAGAAAAGAAAAAGGATTACAAAGCCCTATTCTTAATTCACTCTTGTGTTGATAACGACAATTTCGAGAAGGTTGGTGATTGTGAATCCGCGAAGCAAGCATGAGAAATCTTGGAGAAAGCGTATGCCGGTGCCGTCAAAGCGAAGGTGGTAAGGTTACAAACTTACAAACGTCAATTCGAGTTAACGCAAATGGAGGACAAAGAAACGATCAACAATTACATAACGCGCATTACCCGGTTAGTCAACCAAATCAAGTCATGTGGCGAAACGATCCTTGAGCAGAATGTTGTATCGAAAGTGTTGCGTTCGTTAACATCATGTTTCGATAACATTGTTGTGGTTATTGAGGAGTCAAAGGATCTAACAACTTTGAGCAAAGATGAGTTGCAAAGTTCGTTAGAGGCGCATGAACAAAGGATGGATGAGAGAAGTGCCGACAAAGCCAAAGCGGAGATCGCTTTGCAAGCGCGTTTACATGAGAAGAACAATAGATTGAAAGGGAAGTGGACTTCTAAAAATAAGAAGAATTTTGGTGGAAAATATCCACAAAATTCAAAGGGTGAAGGAAGCTCCAAAGATGGTAATCAAAGCGCCCACAAACCGTTTGACAAAAGTTTTGTGAAGTGTTATAATTGTCAAAAGCTTGGACATTTTGCGAAAGAATGTCGCTCAAAACGCAAGGAAAAGGATGCGGATGAGGCTAAGGTTGCTAGGGAAGAGGTAGATGATGAAGATACCCTTCTTGTGATGATTACGGAAGAGAATTATGGCATTGTTGATGTTCCGGACAGCAGCTACTGTGGTGATAGTCTGCTGGACAGCAGCTGTACAGTTTCGGAAAGTGGTGGAAAAATGCATTCGGATCGAAATGCATTACTTACTATGCGTGATGAAGTTCAAAGTAAAGATGAGTGGTACTTGGATTCCGGTTGTTCAACACATATGACGGGTCGAAAGGATTGGTTTGTGCAAATCAATCAAGCGGCAAAGAGTAAAGTCAAGTTTGCCGACGACACCACTTTAAGAGCCGAAGGGGTAGGAGATGTTTTGATCGGAAGAAAGAATGGTGGACACTCTAGGATCAAAGATGTCTTGTACATACCGGGAATTAAGTGCAATATTTTAAGCATTGGCCAATCACTTGAAAGAGGGTACTTAATTCGGTTGGAGAACAAGATGTTACGCGTTTTAGATTCAAACGGTGTGTTGATTCTAAAAGCGCCGATGGCTGCCAATAGAACTTTTAAGGTTGAGTTAAAGGTTATGGAACATCGTTGTTTAGCTACCGCGGCAAGTAGAGATGAGTGGTTATGGCATTACCGTCTTGGTCACCTAAACTTTAGGGATCTTAAAATGTTGCAACAAAGTGAAATCGTAACGGGGCTGCCACATATTAGTGTTCCGGCAGAATTATGTGAGGAATGTGTGAAGAGTAAGCAACACAAGAATGTGTTTAGCAAGGATGCGGGTCGAAGAACCAAAGGCTTACTTGAGGTGGTGTATTCCGATGTTTGTGGACCGATGCAAGTAGAGACTTATGGCGGTAATCGATATTTTGTTATGTTCATTGACGATTTTAGTAGGAAGCTTTGGACATATCTTATCAAGAGAAAGGATGAGGTGTTTGGAGTGTTCAAGAGTTTCAAATCCATGGTGGAGCGTCAAAGCGGTCGGAAGCTCAAAATTCTCAAAACGGATGGTGGAGGTGAATATACCTCTAGTGAGTTTGGGAAGTTTTGTGATCTTGAGGGTATTGTGCGTGAGGTGGTGCCTCCATATACGCCTCAACAAAACGGAGCAGCCGAGAGGAAAAATCGTACAATAATGAACATGGTGCGTAGTATGCTTTGTGGGAAGAAGTTACCTAAAGAATTGTGGGGTGAGGCCGTGTCTACAGCCACCTACTTGTTGAATAGGTGTCCTACTAAGAAGCTGGAGAAAATTACACCAGAAGAGGTTTGGAGTGGTTTCAAACCGAGTGTGAATCATTTGCGCATTTTTGGATCGATTGCATATCGTCATGTACCGAATCAACTTAGAAAGAAATTGGATGATAAAGGTGAGAAATTGATATTTGTTGGATATCACTCTACGGGAGGTTACAAGCTATTTGATGAGAGGAATCAGAAAATCGTGATAACCCGGGATGTGCAGTTTGATGAAATAAAAACTGCTGAAACAGTAGGTGAACAGCAGCAGCAGTTTGTTGCTAATCGATTACATCCTGCTGAACAGCAGCAGTTTGTTGATTTGTTTGATCCGGAGAATTCCGATGCCGCTGTACCTGCACCTATAGTAGCAGAAAATGATGTTGTGAATAATGGTAGACCAGTGAGGCAAAGAGCCTTGCCTCATAGACTCCGAGATTGCGAAAGGTTCCAAGATAACAAAGTGAATAATGATGGTGATTTTGTTCATTTCGCGCTTATGGCCGAATCTGAACCGGTAAATGAGGAGGAAGCCTTAAGTGATCCTAAATGGATATGTGCAATGAAAGAGGAGCTGGAATCTATTGAGAAAAATGGTACTTGGGAGTTGGTCGATTTACCACTTGGAAAGAAACCGATAGGTGTGCGATGGGTCTATAAAGTTAAAGCAAATCCTAAAGGTGAAGTAATCAAGCACAAAGCTCGATTAGTGGCGAAAGGGTCCTTGCAACGTGAAGGCATAGACTACGAGGAGGTATTCGCACCGGTGGCTAGATTGGAGACTATTCATTTGGTTGTTGGAATTACGCATAGTAACAATTGGGTGATTTACCAAATGGATGTGAAATCTGCGTTTTTGAATGGTCCTCTTGATGAGGAGGTTTATGTGGGGCAGCCACCCGGTTTCGTGATCAAAAATCAAGAGAGGAAGTACTAAAAGCTACACAAGGCGTTGTATGGTTTGAAACAAGCTCCGAGAGCTTGGAACAAACATATAGACGGCTTTCTTATTGACATCGGTTTCAAACGGTGTGTATCCGAACATGGTGTCTATGTGAGATCGAATACTATTGATGGTGTTATTATACTTTGCTTGTATGTTGATGATCTCTTGATTACGGGCAGCAATAACAAGAGTATTTCAAGGTTCAAAGTGGAGCTCATGAGTGAGTTTGAGATGACAGACCTTGGTGTCATGAGTTACTTTCTTGGCGTAGAGTTTCACAAGTCAAAAGTGGGGCTGCTTATGCATCAAAGGAGGTATGCTCTAGATATCTTGAAAAAGTGTGAGATGGAGCATTGTAATGCTTCTATTACACCCTGTGAGGCTAGAGTACAGCTGTCCAAAAGTGATGATGAGGATGATATGGATCCAACACTTTACCGGAGTTTGATTGGGTCGTTACGGTACTTGTGCAATACTCGACCGGATTTGGTTTTTAGTGTCGGTATTGCGAGTAGATTCATGGAGAGACCTAAGGTGTCTCACTTGGCGGCGGTCAAGAGAATCCTTAGATATGTGAAAGGTACTCTTGGTTGTGGTATTTTGTTTCCCACATCGGATATGGGTCGCAAATGTACTTTATTTGGCTACACCGATTCTAATTGGTGCGGAGATAAAGATGATCGGAAATCTACAGCGGGTTACATCTTTATGTTCGGTAGTACACAAATCTCATGGTGTTCGAAGAAGGAACCGGTTATAGCACTCTCTTCTTGTGAGGCCGAGTACATTGCGGCATCATTGAGTGCTTGCCAAGCTATGTGGTTAGTGAATCTTATGAAGGAATTGGGATGTGGTGATGATGATGCCACCACACTGTTTGTGGATAATGTTTCCGCGATAAATCTTGCGAAGAATCCGATTGCACACGGAAGAAGCAAGCATATTGAGATGCGGTTTCATTACTTGAGAGAATTGGTTGGTGATGGAAAGCTTAGATTGAGCTATTGCCGAAGCGAGGACCAAGTTGCGGATTTGTTGACCAAGGGTGTGACAAATGAAGTGTTCAAGAGACTGTTGAAGAGCTTGAGCATGATGAACTTGGAGCAACTAAAGTGAGGTGGTGTGTTGTGAGCTGTTAAAAATCTGTTATTGGAAAATAATAGAATTTAACAGCATGGCACTTTAGTTGGTTTTGGTTACTA